TATGGCGTGGGGGGAGGGAGAGGGTTCAAGGTCTTGGGAAGGATCATTGGGGGATTCTGAGGGGTGCAGAGATCTATGGGAGGGTCTGGGAGGGTTACTGGGGAGGCTCAGACGACTCCAGGAGGGATTATTATGGGGGAAGATAACTGGGGGGGTATATTGGGGGTACCAGGTCTGCAGGGGTAATTGGGGGGACAGGGGCTTTTGGGGGGGGTTGTGAGGTATATGAGGGGATGCTGTGTGTGCATCACTGCATGGGGAAAAGACCTGGGGGGGGCTTTTGGGGGTGTGAGTTATATGGGGATGTGGATAGCAGGTTTTGGGTCCTGCTGAGGCCCCCCCCATTCTGCCCTCCCTCCCTGCAGCTCCATGGCCGTCCCTGTGAGCGTCCTCCGCCTCCCACGGGGCCCAGAAGGTTCGGGACGAGGTTTCAGCTCCACAACTCTAAACCGTCGTCGTGGGGAAGCCCCAGAGGTGGCAGAGGTGACAAAAGCCACGCAGGCCACGCGGGCAGCGCTGCGCCGCCGCTTCCTGCTCAGCCTGGCGGCCGCACGGGAACAAACAGTGACATTTGTCCTCTGTCAGCACGGCCGGGTCAGCGCCGTGCTGGGGGCCGTCTGGGTCCCCGACGGCACCGAGGTCTGCAGGGACGATGGCAGTGCGGCCGTGGCCTTTCAGGTGGACGCCCTGCAGACGCCTCTGGGGGTGCAGAGAGCTGCACTGCTGCGGGGACGGGATGTGGTGGCGTTTGGGTTTCAGGTGGCTGAGAAATGAGGGGAAAGCAACGGGGAAATTGATGGAGAAATGAGGGGAAATAAATGGAGACGTGAGGGGAAATAAATGGAGTGGTGGTAGGGAGATGAAATGGGGGAATGATGGGGAAATGGGGGGGGACACTGAAAGGGCACTGGGGGGCTCTGAACAATGACAGCCCTCAGCTTCACACCTTGGTGTCACCCCCAGTGGTATCCTAACCTCACCCCCCAGCATCCCCCAATGGAACCACAGCGTCACTCCAATTTGGTCCCCCTGCAGCGTCACCCAGCATAATTCCTTCATGTTCTGAAGGGTGAGGAGGGCCCATAGAAAAAGAGTAAGAGTGAGAAAAAGGCTTCACAGGGAATAAAGAAGGGGGGGGGGGAGTTGTTAGAGAAAGTTTATAGATGCAAGAATGTAGAGCTGGTTGGAAAAATAAGGATGGCAGACACAGAGTCTGGAATAGCGAGGGGGATGAAGGCCATAAAGATAAAGATTTGAGAACAGTACAGAGACATCTGGCAGGGAGGTGATGAGATGCACACAGGGCAACAAGAAAACAGTTTGGGGGGTCCCGAAAGGTCAGAAGTTTACGGTGAGGAAGAAGAGGATTCTTCATCCCACAACCTCCAGGAGGAGACGACCACAACTGTGCACACGCAATGGGGGGAGGGTCTGCATGCTGATGGCTCCTGGGAAATCTGATGATCCACATCCAAATTGCTGGGAACTCCTCGTCACGCGCCGGCTCACAGCCCCGGCTGCAGCAGGCTTCTTGCCGGCCGCCTGCAGGCTGGGCGGATCGATCCGTCCTGCGCCCAGCTCAACACAGCGCTGAATAAAGCCGACCTGCTTTGCGATCTTACGTGCGGGTCACGGTTTGATTCCGTGTGTCACATGGAGGACGACATTTTGGTCACGTGCACAGAGAGACACTGAGAGGACCTGCGTGTCTCTGAGGGGCACTGGGGGGCTCTGAAGGGGTTCCCCCCCATCTCCTTTAAGCAGCACCGCTCTCCTCGTGGAGCTCTGGGGCTCCCCTCTTCTCCTTCCCATTCTCCCATCGCTTTCCCTGCACGCTTTCCTGGCTGTGTTCTCTTATTCCCATTGTTTCTCACCTTTCTTCGGGTGCTGCTTTTCATTCTAGGATCCCCAACCTTACGGATGAAATAGACTTCATCTCAGAAGGCAGAGAGTATCTTTGGCTATGAGCTTATTTCTGTCCAGAGAGTCCCAAAGCAGAGCTGTTGGTGGAAGTGTCAGAGAAGGAGATGGAAGCACAGCACGTCTCATTAGAAAAGGGAATTAATTACATGGATTGATTCTCAAGGCGGCGATTTGAGCCGTGGAAGCAGCAATGGGCTTTAACAGCCTGCAGCGCTCCCTACAGAGGCGTCCCTGAGGCGCACCTGCAGTGACCAAAGCCCAGCTGCAGGGCGCACAGTTAACAAACGCACAGTTTGCAGAGTGCTGTGGTTAGAACAGCATTTTACAGGTGCTGTAACTAGAAGGATTGCTGTAATGGTAAGTAACTGACAACCAGAAATAAATGAAAAGCCCACCCATGTCCTAGGCTTGCAGTAGAAAGCTCCAAAGAAAGAAATCTCCAGAAAGAGATTGAGATGCAGCCACTTCCAGATCTGAGTCTGTGACAGGCACAGCGAGGAGGAGCAGAAGTTTACTAAATTCAACCAAGTCAAATAAAATGAGAAACATCAAACACAAGTTTTTATGCAGAGAAAGCACGTACCTTTTTTTTCCCTTCAGCCCAGCCAGGAATTCCACCTTCCCTCCTCTGCACTCCAAGAACGCTGCTCCTCCTCTCTTACCTGAGAACCCAAAACCCACAAAGGCAGCTCAAGGACCAGACCAGGAGCTCTTCAACTCACTTTACACGACGCTCTGACGGGGAGCAGTAACAGCAGGAACCACAGCACCACAGCAGAGATCCTTCCCCAGCAGCAGCCAGCCCTTAAATGGGGTCCAGGAGAGGTGAGCCAGGCTCCACCCCTTCGTTACTGAATCGCCTTCACCTGCGCTCCCACTGCTGGCTCAGTCCTCGCCCCAGGTGTTCAATCAGCGCTCCAGGCCCTGACCCAACTGCTCCCATTCGCAGGGCTGTGCAATGACAAATGTGTGTCACTGGGAGCACTGGGTGGCAAACAGCACTCGCTGCATCCCCAGCAGTGATTTCAGCCCTTTGCTGTCCGGGCTGCTCACACAGATCGCAGCATCTGCTGTGCCAGCACTGAGATCTGTGCTTCCCTGTCTGTTAGGAGAGTCACTAACTGGCATCCAGGACAGACTGGGACCAAAATTCTTG